GAGAGAGAGAGAGAAGAATCGCGGCCTTTATGTGCGCGAATCAACTGTTTATTCAGCATATAGTGAAAACGAGAGAAAGAGGAGAAAGAGATGCAACGAGAGTGCGGCGGGGAGGGATCGAGGGAGGAGAGGTTGAGCGGGGGAGGAGGGAATGCAACAGCAAGCGCGAGTGATCGACGTGAAACGAGTTCATTCATGCTTGGATGTTGTAATCCTGAATGGACGTAGAATGGATCGAATCGCTACGCGATTAGATTGGGTTGTGTGGCTCGACTTGATATTTTTCTTTTTTTTCTTTTTTTTTTTCTTTTGTTTTATTTGAAAGGTACGAGTGATTAATATGTGGATAAAGGTGAGGTAAATTAAACTTGCCCCATGCAAGTTTCGTTTCCCTGTACATCTAGTTAAAACGTAATCGCACGGTCCTCAGCCATTTAATAATATCGAACGTGTACGATCTAAGGTCAGAGCCACGTATTTAAAATGTTGAGTTTCAATGTCCTTTTGTGAATTAATATTAATTTTTGCGAACGAATCTAGCGTCGCGCTTGACGATCCGGCGTTAAAATCCAAGCTCGTGGACGAAGTTAAAAGGGCGCCTCTCTATCTCTCAAGGGTGCGATAACTTTCAGCGCCGACTGTATCGCTCGGATGATGTATCCCCCGGGGGTTTTCTCCCCTTGGGTGTTGGGGTGTGTTTCGTTGCCTGGCAACGACACCCTCGAAGTCCGCGCTCTGATTGGCCCCGTCTCGCTTTTCCTGTCTTAGCCTCTCTTCTCACCCCGTCGCCAATCAGACCCCCCTTCGCCCCATGCTACCGTACCACTCGTCCTGTGCTCTCGCCGATGGAAACCGCCGTCGTCGGGGCGAAGTGCACACATGGGCGCGCGTGTAGAGAAAAGAATAAGAAAAGAAAAAAAAAAAAAACACGCTGCAACACGTCTACGCGAACAGAACGCGAGGAGGAATTAGGGGTAGCTCGCCGGGATAGCCTCAAGTCTCAATGCATGTGCATGATCACATGCACATGACGAGGCGATGTAGTATTATCTCGAATAAATAACACGAATTTCTTGTTACTCCTACATTATTATACGGGAAAAACATGCCGAAGAGAAAGTGCAACGCGTGACTCTGCGTCTCTTTTACTGAACTTGATTTTTTACGGATGTGTAAAAATCCTCCTAATAATATACATCTCCGTCATGTATTTTTTCTTTTAGTATCGACTAGAAATCCACGAGTGCACCTCTAAGATAATTTCGGCGTTGAGAGATTAGTTTCGCGGGACGAAATACCGGAATCTTATTTGCCGTAGATTCATTCATTCTAAATCCGATTACGAGTAAATAACCGCCGTTTCGTCGGCTCTCGATGTCATCGAGAGTCATTCCTATTTTTACAGCTCTGTAAATTGTACGAAAGGATTAAGAGCGATTCCATTGGCTTCCTTTTCAATGCCTTCTTCGAGTAGCCGGCTTGTTGTCGAGGCAGCACAGCGCTACGAGAGGCTTAAACCTTCCTATTGATCCCGTTCAATGGATTCGTGCCCTTTCACGTGCCAGCATTCGTAATGTTTTGACATCTTTTGCGCTCGTCTCTTCGCCTCCCGCTTACTTCCTCAACGCTGGGAAATACATCTCTTCTGCAATCCTCCAATTTATCACTTAATAATAATTTCTATTTCTCTCGTCGTTAATATACATAAATTTATTTTATTTTATTTTTTTTTTATAAATACCGATCTTACAATGCCGATAAAAATCTTTACAAATGCAAAGGTTAATAATTTTTTTATGTTTTTATCCATTTAGATAGCTCATGTTGCGATGATGATTCTTTAAATGACAATTTCTTCCTAAACTCGTCACAATATTTCAACAAAGAATGGCGCGATGAAATTTCGAGCAAAGCCAAGTAAATGCTTAAATATAATAAATGCATATCTGTACAGGAACGAATAGTAAAGCTACTCGTTTATTACAGATCGCGCAAAGTGCCAAAAATATTTTACGGAACGCGAACTCACAAGCAAATCGAACAGGTTATCAGAGAATTCAAGAAAACTGCGTATAGACACAAAAGGTAAAAATACTTGCAAAATATGATTTTTATTAAATGAATGTATAATGAATGAGTTTTTTTTCAGGATGACTATATTGAGCAGTCGAGATCACACATGTATTCAGAATACCAATAGGAACAAGAATGATTTGTGTCACGAACTACTGGATCCGCTACAGGTTTTTACAAGTTTTATATAAATTTTAAATAATTTATTATACTATACTTACGTATAGTACTTAAATAATTACATAACGAGATTATTTTTGCGCGTAGGTTAAAAAATGTGAGTATTACTTTAATGACACCAATAAGAAAGAACCGGTATTTAGTCAATTGAATTCACCTTGGGATATCGAAGATTTGATCTCGTTTGGCAAAAACAAAAGGCTATGCCCATATTTTGGCGCAAGATCTTTAATGGTTCAGGCGGATATCGTATTTTGTCCTTATAATTATATCCTGTATCCAGAAATTCGTGAGAGCGTAAGCATAATAAATGATTGCTACTCAATCATCTAAAATTAAGAAGTACTTATGAACCGTTATAATAATAAAAATATTTGGTTCACAAAGTATTCAATATCTTAAATTTATCCTGAAATAGCATAAAATACTTTCACACTCTATGATATTAAATGTCGAATACTGGTATAAACCGTATAATTAAAATGTACAGATGCAAATCAATCTGAGAGGAAATATCGTAATTCTCGATGAAGCCCACAATGTTGAAGATATATGTCGAGAGGCTGCTAGTGTCTCTCTCAAAGATTACGAGCTTACAAATGCTGCTAAAGAATGTCTACATCTTTTACACAAAGGCCGTGACCATCATGTTTACGATACCATTCACAGATATTTAATGGATTTCGTAAAATTTCTTAAAAATGTCGATGTCAAGGAAGATGTGAACGTATGTAGTTATTAAATAATGAATTAAGTGTCAGTTTTTTTATTTTATTTGAATTTTATATATCATTGTGACTTATTCAAATTCTTATCTCGTAGATATACTTAGATATTTTTTACGAATTTATAAATAGTTATATAATCGATACTTTTATTTATTATTATTATATATATATATATATATATATATATATATATATATAT